AGGGGGGGCGGGGCGACGTTGGGGGCGGCTGCGGGGTTGCTGGCGCCCCGCTGGGGCTGGAGATGGTGGGCGCCCTCGGAGCTGACTTCTAGGCGCTGTGGGGTTCGGGACTGGGAAGAGGGATGTCAGTAGCGGGACTGTCTTGGGGTTTCCCGGCCCACTCACCCCGACCTGTTGACAAACCGCTCTTGGGGGGCGCCCTGTGGACTTTGCAGGTAGGAAGGCTCGACCTCACGCCCACCCTGAGCCTGAAAGTGCCGGGGCCTGAATGGAGGGCGCCGTGACACCCGGGTGGGTGTGTGTGTGTGACTGGAGCACCCGGAGCACCCACCGGTGCCAGCCCCGCCTCCTCGGCCGAAATCAGTAAAAACTCTGCCTGCTGTGACCACGCACCTCCCAGGCTGGTCTCCGAACGCCCCCCTGCCAACCAGATCGCCCCCTCTTCCACGGACACGGGGCGGGGAGGCAGGGTGTACAACGTGGAGCTGAGGGAGGGAGGTGCCGAGTTGAGCCCCAGCCCCAGCTTCTCCAGGGTCATTCTGTGCCACTGCTGCCACGTCACTCCCTCTGCTAAAGGGAAAGGAAAACGCGAGCGCCTGGAGGGGCCGGTGGTGGAGGGAAGGGGCCGCCCGCAGAAAGGGGACTTCTTGTTTCCTTCAGAACCCCTTCCACCGCGGAAGAGCTTCAAGTGAGCTAATCCCCCACAAAGACTCTGCTGTTGTTTCGCCTCTGAAACTTGCACAGGTGTGGATGCGGTAAAGGGCTTCCTGGGAAGATCAAGATTACACGGCTGGTAGGTAGGTAGGTGTGTGTGAACGTGTGTGTACACCTGCCTGGATTTTGCTTTTTGTTAGTAAAGAAAGAGAGTAACCTTTTAAAGACCCCCTGTTGTGCTTTTTAGTCTTCTCATCTCTTTTAAGTCTTTGTTATAACAGATGTACCAGAAACCAAGTTCAGTGAAAATTGTGCCATATATAGAAAAAACATCGTTAGAAAAAGCTAAAAGGCAAACGAAGACACAGGTTTTGTGTGTTTTCTTTTAAACGCCGGGACAGTTCTTAATCTGCTTTGGGTTTTTTTGGTTGGCGTCAGCCACTGAAGGTGCACTGAAGGATGTTTATATGCTTGTTATCCTAAAGCTTAGTGCCAAACAGAGGGTTGGATACACAGTAGGGACTCAAATATCTGTCCAACTGTTGAGCTGGTCCCGACTCGTGGCGACCCCAGTTCCAACAGTGACACTCTGGTCCAGTGCTAGACTCAGATTGCTGTTGTGTTTGAGCTGGTGCGTTGTTGCAACCACGGTGCCAACCCATCTTGGAGGGGCGCCCTGTTTTGACCCACAGTGATGTCTTCATGAGGGACTGGGCCTTCCTGATAACGTGTCCAAAGTAGGTGAGATGAATCTTGCCGCCGATGCTTCTAAGGAGCCTTCTGGTTGAACTCTTCCCAAGACGGATTTGTTTGCTCTTCTGGCAGTCTGATACTGCTCATCTTCACGAATACCCTAATTTGAAGGCATCACTCCTTTGATCTTCCTTATTGTTCAGCTTCCCTGACAAGGGTCAAGGTACCTCCGTCCTCACAGTGACATCTTTGCTCTTTAACGTGTTTAGAAATGCCTGTTGTAGCAGATTTGCCCAGGCAGCACATCACTTGGTTTCTTCACGGCAGGGCTTTTGTGGATGCTGCCAGTGCTGTCATTCTGCTGACGGTTGGTTAGGGACCGCATCTAAATGTTGCCAGGTGAGACTGTCTTTAGTTGTCAGTTGGTGTGTGCTTCTAAGTTCCACACCACTCAGGCTGTTTCTTACTGTTGGTTTGAGGTAGGCGCCATCTTTCATGGCCGCCTGTTGGGTGTATTCACCCCAAGACTCACCCAACTCACTGCCATCGAGTCGATTCCGACTCAGAGGGACTAGATGGGTCAGAGTAGAACTGCCCTGTGGGTTTCTAAGACTGCAACTCTTCATGGAGTAGACATCTTCATCTTCCTCCTGTGGAGTGGCTGGCTGTTGGTTTCAGACTGCTCATCTTGTGGTTAGCAGCCTAACATGTATCCCGCTCTGCCACCAGGCCGCTCTAGAAATAGTACGCTTCTGTTTTCATAGGCACTCCTTTGTGGCAGGGTGGGCATTAAAGGGCTGCCAGAAAAAGGTGTTTTTGAAGCTCTCACTAGTCAATGGACAAAGAAGCATAAACACACGAGTGAGGATGTGGCCAAGTTCTGAATTGTATGCACTTAGAAAAGTTTAGATTCTTTTGTCTTTTTTTAATGCTAGAAAGTTTGGCATTTTGAAGTGGTCCTAAAGAGAATTGTGCACTATACTTTGGAGCTAGGCGTCTAGACAACTGGTTTGTGTTACTTACTCTCCTTTGGTGTATAGGGAGGTGAGTGGTATCCACAGGCAAAGTTGGGAACTATTTTCGACTTGGTTTCTCTTATGAATTAAAACTTTATATATAAAGTCTTACTGAGTCCCACAAACAACACAGATGCAGCTGTTCCTTTCTTTTTATAAGAAAAGTTCCCAGGGGGCATTTTGTTTACTAATTTGTATTATGGGAATACGTTACCCCTAAGGAATAGTGTTATCATTAGTGCTTGCGCAGTATATTTGCCAGCTGCTCTATGTATGACAGAAGGAGCCCAGGTGCTGTAGTGGTTATGCACTGGGCTGCTAACCACAAGATCAGCCGTTCGAAACCGCCACCTGCTCCACGGAAGAAAGACGAGACTTTTTATTGCCATAAAGATTCTTGGAAACCCACGGGGGTGATTCTACCCGGTCCTCTGTGGTCACTGTGAGTCAGCATCAATTCTGTGGCAGTGAGTTTGGGTGATGAAGGAGCCCTGGTGGTGGTGTGGGTTGGGTGTTAGACCGTTAACTGCAAATCAGCAATTCAACTCCATTAACAGCTCTGCAGGAGAACGATGAGGCTGTCTGCTCCCATAAAGATTTACATCCCTAGAAACCCTACAAAGCAGTGGTTCTCAACCTGTGCGTCGCAACCCCTTTGGGGGTGGAACGACCCTTTCACAGGGGTTGCCCGATTTATAACGGTAGCAAATTACAGTTATAAAGTAGCAACGAAAATAATTTTATGGTTGGGGGAGGGGCCTCACCACAATATGAGGGACTGTATTACAGGGTCGAGGCATTAGGAAGGTTGAGAACCACTGCTATAGGGTCACAAGCGTTGGAATCCACTTGGTGGCAGTGGTTTGGTTGGGGATATGCAGGAACCGTAATGGCACAGTGGCTAACACGTGGTTGCTAACAGCTTGCAGCCACCAGCTGCTCTGCGGAGAGATGTAGTCTGCTGCCCTGCCACAAGTAGTGGAAACCCTATGGGCTACGTTAGTCTGAGCCCTTGTTGCAGCCCCCGTGCCGGCCCGTGTCCAGGGCCTTGATCTTTCCATTTTCACGGGCCCTCGTGATGGCCTTTCCAAAAGCCCGTGAGGCAGAGTTTTGCCATCCTCCTTTCTAAGCCGGATGCTGGCTGTAGGAGGGCTTCGGTGTGATTCTGAGCCCACTGGAAGTGGCTGCGGGATTTTAAGCAGCGGTTTGACCTGCTTAAGCTTGAAGTGAAAGCAGGATGAAGCTCTGGGGCCGGAGAAAGCGGTTTTGCAGTGGCCCACATAGGAGGTGATGGTGGGGTTTGTGAGACCGGTGGTAGCTGTACCGGTGGTGGTGAGCAGTGGTGTTGCTGCTCTGGATTTACTGAGGGCTCCTCGTTTGGGGCCTGAGCATTCACCGAGCCAGGAAATAACGGGCAGACTTGCTCCGTTTCCCGTTTCTACTGGATTGAATCTGTTCTTCAGCTGGTTTTGTTTTCCTTCATTTGTTAAAGCACAGACCTGACCAGTGTTGCTCTGTCCCCAAATCCTCATGGCCTTCCATTGTCTGTTGTCCACAGGAGGGGGAAGTCAGTTCCTACCTGTCTTCTTCCCCCAGGAGTTGTGTGTTAGAGGAAATTGTGTGTTGTGTAGGACAGGCAGTTTAGAAATGTGTACAGTTACTATTGTAATCAGACTTGTTTGGACACTCAGCTAGAGTAGCCAGGATGTATATGTGCATTATGACATTTCACTATTTCTGTTCAGGGGACAGTAGTTTCTGTTGACGCAGGTTGATTGTGTGTGTAGGTAGGCAGGCACTCAGACTGCCCTACCTTCTTGGAATTCAAAGTCAAAATAATCATCCTCCTCAAAAGGGAGGACTTTCTCTAGAAGTTGTTTTGGGATTGGTTGAACAGTGTTCCAACCTTAGGGGTGGGGCTTGGGTATCTTTAGTTTATATTTAAACCACCTGGTAGCCAGGACCCAAAGTAGCTTTTCCCCTCAGCCACACAGTTGGTAGGTGGGACGAACCCTTGCTGGTTGGAGGGAGCTCTGCAGAAAGGACACATCAGTGGGCAAAGCACTCCCCCCCTTGCTCGCGGGCCAGCATGTGAGATGACAGTAGACCAGGAAGAGATGGGGCTCCTGACCTGTGGCCTGAGCCAAAGTTTTCAACCCCGGTGGCTGTTTGTGGCCTGGAGACCTTTCCAGCTCCTGGCGGCCCCCGGTGCTGAGAGAAACTGGGTTTCCCTCCCTTGGGTTTTCACCTAGAGCAGTGGGTGGTACTTGACACCCACAGCGTGCGCTGTTGGACTCATGGCGTCCTGTTTTACACAGGAGTTTGGGTGTAAAGGCCTGGCCAGCTCGTCGTCCCCATGTTAAGATCACGCTCGAAAAGCCCTGTGTTCACGACCTCTCCTGCCACCGCCCTCTCTGAGCCACGTGCACTTTTGGCCTGGATGGTGACGTCTCCTCACCCGGGGCTGACCCTCTTACTTACTCCCCGCCCTCCCTGGTGGACAGAGTGGCCCTTCACCAACGGTGATGAGAACCTGTCTGTCCCTGCCGCCGGCCGTTCTCCGACTCCCCTCTCCCTCCGACTCCCCTCTCCCTCAGCTAACTCTTGACCTGTGGGCTCCCACTTGACCTCTGAGCTCGCTGTTTCTTCTCCCGGATGTCCTCCTCGCTTCCCTCCGTGAGGTGTCCCTTCAGAGGCAGCCCTGCTGAAAACCCTACCTCCTCTGCCCTGACCCCTCAAGCTCAGCAAAGCCGTTTCCCCACTGCACTTGAACACTGTCTGACATAGAGTCTCTGGGGATTTGTCTGAAGTCTCGGGGGGTGGTGGGGTGGTGGAAGATGGTTCACATGTTCGGCTGCTAACCCTCTGAATTGGGGATCTGAGTCCCCCCAGAGGTGACTGTGAAGAAAGGTGCTGAAACACCAGCCACTGCAGACGGTGTGGAGCACAGTTCTTCTCAGACACACGGGAGGGTGCCGTGAGCTGGAGTCTCCACTAGAGTGTCCATTTCATGAACATGTCGACCCCTGGACTGTCCTGCACCCCTAAAACACTGCCTGGGCCATGTAGGTCCTCCATCACTATTTGCTAATGAAGGTACTGAACTGCATGAGACTTACTTATACTTTGTAGAGAGAAAGTAACTTAGGCTCCAAGTTAATAGACTAGGTGATAATTACGTTCCCGATGGGCTCCCAACCCTAATTTTCTACCAGGACAATGTACCGTAAAGACCACTTTCAGGTTTTTTAATTTAATTAGTCCAGTGAATGTAAAAGCAGACAGGAGAGGGCATGGAGAACACAGCGTTTAACTGTGCTTTCTTCATTTCCGCACACCTTACTTAGAAACTGGTTGCCATCAAGTGGTTCCCGATTCCTCGTGATCCTGGTGTAAGTGGGGTGAGGTGCTGTCTGACCTCCTCTGGCTTTATGAGGGGAAAAGAGAATCAAATTCAACATCAGGCTGAGCTCAGGCATGCCTCCATCCACATCCCTCCCCTCTTCCTTACCAATCGCACCCCGATCATTCCCTCCCACAGCAAACTCTACTTCTCAGCTGGGTGTGGTAATTCATTGCATCAAACACACACAACTCCCAGACCAAACTCACAGCCACGGGCTTTATTATTATGGAAATTAACAGAGTACAACTCAGGGGCTGAAATGCCCAAGACACAGTTCTGTGAGAACCACCTCGTCCCTGCCAGGCTCTGTTCCTTGGCCTCTGCCTCAACCAGGCAGTGTCCTACGGCTCTGTGAGGGCTGGCAGCAGATTCCCAAAGAGCATGCCACGACACTGTAAACCTCAGCCCACAGAGATGCCCCGTCGGTCAGCAAATCTAGCTTCACCCCGATTAAGTGCCTGGCAGTGCAGGCCTCCCGAGAGAAAAGGCCCTCGGCTTCCTCAGTCCATGGCCTCTGGCTTCCTGCTCTGGCTCAGGAGGCCCAGTGCGCAGGGATCTTGGGGTCTGAAGGATGCGCCCACTCCTAGCGTCCTTTCTCCATGGCAGTGACATTCTCCCACCCTTGGGTGGCTCGTTTCATCCCCAGCAGGGTGGCAGGATTGACCAGTCCCCATGTTGGTGTTCATGTTTTCACAATCTCATTTTGCCCCGTTAACAGTCCTTCACAGGAACCCTCTGAGCACCTCCTTCCCCATCTTCTCCTAACCAGTCCCCCCACCAGAAGAGGACATGCACTCACTGTGCATGGCCCTACCAGACCACTGCCCCTGCCCCTGGGACTCGACTGTCTTAGAAAGCAGAAAATCCACCCCATTGCCCTTGAGCTGGTTTCAGCTCCCAGTGACCCTCTGTGACAGCGTGAGAGAGCCCCGTAGATTCTGTGGCTGGAATCTTTATGGAATCAGACTGGCCTGTCAGGCAGCAGCTGAGCACTTAACCACGGGGCCACCAGGGCTTATTCCTTAGCCTTCGGTCCCTTCTTAGTTTACTTAAAGGTCACCATAGTCCTTTTTTTCCTTCTGAGAAATTTTGAATGTTGTTACCATATATACTCAAGTATAAGCCGACCTGAATATCAACCGAGGCACCTAATTTTACGACAAAAACTGCATAAAAGGTGCTGAAAAACTCTGCGTATACATGAGTATTTACGGTACTTCTGTTCCTAAAGCTCTGAAAACATCAGACTGTAACCCACTGCCATCGAGTCAGTTCTGACTCAGCACCCTGCATAGGGTTTCCCAGGCCTTGTCAAGCTTCATGAGGCCACACAGCCTCATCATCTTCCCTTGGAGCAGCTAGTGGGTTTGAACCACTGACCTTGTGGTAGCATTACAATGCTTACCCAAGTGCCACCAGGACTCTTTAAAAGCCATCGAAATCTATCTTTATTGACTTATTGATGATGTGATCTGCACACACAAAGGATGTCACTCCCCGTCCCCCCAAACGAATGCCTTTTAAGTTACAGGGTAAGTAAGCTCTTCTTTAAGCCTATTGTAAAATAAATCACAACTAAGTTCGCCGATATTCTCTAGATCCACAGGGGTTCTCAACCTTCCTAATGCCCAGTTCCTCATGTGATGGTGACCCCAACCATAAAATGATTTTCATTGCTACTTCATCACTGTCATTTTGCTACTGTTATGAATCGGGCGACCACTGTGAAAGGGTCATTCGACCTGCAAAGGGGTCTCGACCCACAGGTTGAGAACCGCTGCTGCTCTAGGAGGAAGCCCTTAGACTTATAGCCAGTTAACCCTGACCTTCCAGTTATCTTCCAGTCAGTGAGTCACCAGGCAGGAAAGCTTGGCCCATACCTGTCTGCCTGGTGTTTGCGATCAGCTAGTCATCTACTGGTGTACCAGAAAGCAGTTCACAATAGCACACTTTGAATCCGTGAGGAAGAAGATGAAGTAGTCTTACGGGTGTTTTAAAATGTTTGTTTATCTGAATAAAGTGAAGTCTTACATTAGCATGTGCTAAGTGTTGGTCTCAAACATGGAGATTAAAATGAAATGTGAGTTTTTTTTTCTTTTAGGAGATCATGAATCAAGCCGATAAAAACCAACAAGAAATCCCATCATACCTTAGTGATGAACCACCAGAAGGTAAGATGCTGTCTCCACTAGTGAGAATAGGGGAGGCGTCCCCGTGAATTAAGGCTGTGACCGGTTTGTTAAAGTAATGTAATTCATTTACCTTGTCAGTAAACAAGCTCTAAACATAAGATGTTGAAGACAAACATCTTTAGCCTCGAATAGGGAAACTGATTGATGAGCGGGCACTGTAAAAAGGGCAGGGAGGCCATGTGTGACCTCTTTCAGCTTCCGTAGGGAGGAGGAGCCGCCATCTCCACACCAGCCCAAGGCCAGTTGCCATAAGGCGGTCAGAGGTGCCCCCACCTGCCATCTGTTTTGCTCTCTTCTAACACCTCTCACCCTCTCCCTCTCTGCTGGGTGTGCTAATCGGCCCAAGAACACTCACAGTTAGGGCCTTTATTAGGGAAGTCAAGGAGTCCTGGGGCACGTGTAAGCTGCTAACGGAAAGGCTTGCAGTTTGAAACCACTTCTACTCCTATCAGGTGTTAGTCTTGGGCATTCACTGGGGCAATTCTCTCCTCAGCAGCGAG